TATATATATATATATATATATATATATATATATATTTCATCAAAACAGCCCCACGAGGCAGGCACTGCTAGCGTCCCCGTTTTACAGATGTGCACACTGAAGCTCACAGAGATTAATTAGCTCGTCCGTTACTGACTTAACAATTCACTTGCAAGTAGAAGAACTGGGATTAGAATCCCGGCAATCTAATGCCAGAATATATGCTCTTAATCCCTGCACTGTTACACAATTTTTAAAAAAAATGATTTGATGGATAAAATTGCATTTACAGATATTTTAAATACATTGTCATGGAAAGTACCATGAAAAATGACTTCTCAATTTGAAATACACATGCTTAAGGGTCAGAAAGTCCCTGCAGCATAAAGAAATACATCTTCTCTCTGACATTGAATAAATTCAACTAATTGATTCAAATGTTCAGTGAATGGCTCTCTCGGTCCTGAAATAATTGCAACTGCTCATTTTCTAAATATTCTAAACAGGTACATTTTGAGTAGGCAGTGAAGTAAATTTACATAAAATGATTAACCCAACTTTAAAGAATTATACCAATGAAAAAGTACATTAAAATGTTCTTGTGTGAATAACCTAAAACAGCACGAAGTAGAAACTTTAGATCTGTTGCTTCCAACATGACTCCAGAGATTAAAAAACAAAAAAGTTGCTGAACCCAACTCCACCCTTACTTGACAAGGAAGAAGAGAGTGGGAGAGAGACCCCAGCTGTAAGGGCCGAGCTGGGCTGGGCCGGTGGCCCTCTGTGTTCTCTTGTGGGGGCAGTAAAACACCTACGCCCTGGCACGTGCTCACAGGCGAGCTCTCACAAATATCCCTGGCCGGGGCATCCTGGCCAGGCATCTCTGATCAGCTGCCCAGGTCAGCTGGGACACAGCAGAGGCAGGGAGCCTGGCACTACTGAGTGCCCTGGTCTCCTGGTCATCATCCTGGGCCCTCTTGAGCATGTGACCAGCACACCTGGGACATCCTGAAAAGCCAGGGGTCTGCCAGCAGACAGAAACCGTTCTGAATCAGGCACGCAGCCCATCGCTGACAGGTGAAAAACCGCTACCTGGAAAATGATGAGAGGTAGTCTGAAGAGTCCCTCACTCGAGGAGCCCAAGCATCCCTCCAGGAGCAAATGAAATAATGCTCATTGATACTGACGCGAGTAGAACACAAGAGATATGAAAAGAGTGGCTCCACCACATGACATTTTAAAATCTGTAAAATATAAATTGTTATCTCCGGAATGTCTCACCACCAATCACTGCCAAGTTTACACGCAGCACAGAGCTGCCCCAAGCAGACACTGACCTTTCCAGCAGATTGAGAGGAACTTGACAATAAATAAACACTAAATCAGCTAAAGAAACATGCTGCAAGAAAAGTGCAGGAAACGGTTACACTCACGAGTCACAGTATTTGTCATAAAACATCCTTTTGAAATCCAGAATCCCTCTTCTTCCTTTAATTAGAAACAACAAAATCAATTTTTCCTTATCAAGATTTTTGTCATCAAAAAAGCAATCATCTTATGCTCTGACATGTGCATCATTCAGAGAATTACCTGAATTTATTTTACCATTGCATTGGTTTTAAATAATTTTCCTCACTAGAAACATCTGCTGTTGTTCTGAACACAATAAAAAATGTTGTTCACAGGTTTAATACTTGACAAACTATCAACTTTCATGATGAAAGTTATTACTATCATGAACTACAGTCTATCTCAAATTTCAACACAAAAATGCTTGCAGTGTACTAAAAAAAAAAAAAAAAAGCCCCAGGATCATGAAATCCCCACTATGACAAGATGATTATCTTAGAAACAAAGTGATTTTAGAGCAGGGAGAGGATCCTGACTGTCTGCGACCCAGCTGACTCCCGGAGCCTTGGTCAGCTCCAGGGCAGGGCAGTTGGATGGCAGCAGCGGGACTCCAGCTCCTGCCAGCACGTGCCTCCTTTGCATCACATCACGCTAATGCTTACAGAGCAAGGCCCGCTCCCCAAAATGGATCCCACAACACACAAACGTCTTGAAGCCAAGGCCGACTGAAAATATGGCATTAAAAGGGGTTCTGCCTGAAACATCTGCGGACAGGAGCATGCTGCACCCACCCTCCCACCCCCCACAGCACCACCCAAGCACCACCAGCAGGGTCTGGCCCTTCCTTCGCTGTAGCACACGTTCCCTTAGGCTTCTTAAAAGCAAAAACAAACCAAATGCACTCTCTCTCCCTTTAACTCTCTGTAACAGGCTTTCTTCAGCATATTAAAAAATCTCTCCTGCTCTGATCACTAAAAACTCCCAACGTTTCTTCTACTCTTGACAATCAGGCAGGAAAGAGTTAACACACATACCTCCACCCAATCCCCCCCTCCAGGAGAAAAAAACCTTCAATTATAGGGATACAAATGACAGGGGTCCCACCAATTGTGAAGTTCCCCGAGGAATAAAGCATTGTGATCTCAGTTTGCAACATAAAAAGCACATCAGAGCTCCCTCCCAACTCTTGGTGTGCTTGCTGGATAAAAATGATGACCATATAAGCTTCATGCATGATTGATACCACTGCTGTTTATTTTAAGGCTGTCCTTGAGAATCAATCAAATGAAGCGTGCTGGGGTAGCTTCTGCAAGCAGGAATGAGAAACACAATGCAAGTGCCTTTTCTGAAGAAGTCGTGATGGCCTCTTCCCGTTACTGTTTCCAACCAAAATGAAGCATCTAGTACAAGTTAGCTGGGCAGAAATTCATGGGAGAGGGCAGCCTGGCATCCCATGTTCTTTACTACCGGTATGTTGCATTATCCAGCAGCTGCACTTATAACTAAAGAAGAGGTGGAGGTTATCATTACGTAAAAGAATATATATATATATATATATATATATATGTATGTATATAAAGCTTACCAAAGGTATGCTCAAGTGCTTTAAAGAAAACTACTTGGGAAAGATACAAAGTCTGAAACATAAAGTACTCCTGTGTAACAAATCAGCTTTTTAAGGTCTCAGATGTCACATGCCTCTTATCGTTCATAATCAAATCTTTGCATTGTATAATAAATATGCTCTGAAAATGGGAAAGTGGTTCTTTTTTTTCCCCCCATAAGCTCTTTTCTCACATAGATCTTTTAAACAAAGAGAAAATATAGTGGAAATTCAAAATGAAATCTTTTTTTTTTTTTTAGTAAAGTCATAACTTTTCTTGCATAATAATATCTGATTGAAGTGACTGAGGGAGTCAAACTATGAAGGACTACAATCAAATTTATGTTTAGCCTCAAAAAGAAAGCTAATATTCATCAAAACACTGACACTATTCTAATGATAGCTGAAAGCCAATCTAAGAATTTCCAAAGCAGGGGCCTGCCCTTTCTTGGTGAACAAGAGAAAGCCTGGCAGGTACTGTGACCACCTCCCAGGGCCCCACCTCACCACCATCACCAGCGAAGTGGAGGCCTTTTGTCTGTAACCTTATCAATAACAGCTGGCCACTCTCCTTCCTCCAGCCTAGAACTAAAATCCTCTGCATTCCAACATCACAGTATCTCTCGATTTCCATGGCGGATACACACAGCTTCCTGTGCCATGGAATCCAAAAAGTTCGAGCCTGCAATCAAGAGCAGTCTGGATTTTCAGCCCCTTCGCGTCTCTTTTTATCCAGAAAAGCAAAGCTGTATTTTCAAAGGGTGAAACAGTTTTGGGTTGCAAATTGGGGTTTTTGCATAATATCACCATGGGTTCACATCTGTGAACTCCTTTAACTCATCTGATGTTGGCTGTCACTTTTCCAAATCCTTCATTTCTCTACCAACCAGTGCTTATTACATGGGGTCTTAAGAATGGTTTCTATAAACAGAGTGACATCAGAATGTGCCTTCACGCATGGCACTTATACACACTGTACATAAATCTGTTATCGGTCCAAATACTGTGCAACAGGTCCTGCTATTGTGTAAACACACTCCCCCCAAAAATGACAGGAAGCTTTGAAGGATCACAACATCAGGGAAAATAAATCACACCATTCTTCAGAGACTAAATCCTAATTCTTCTGAGATGTCAGAAACAGAAAGCCAGTCCAAAGAAGTGCATTTTCCAAGCCCCTCTGGCTGTGTGGGGACTGCACTGTGGGAACTGCACCGTGTGCATGGCCCGCCGGTGTCACAGCCCAGGTGAACGTGGCCTCAGGGACTCACAGCAAGCACATCACTGGCTTCCTCGCCGAGGAGACAACAGGAGGAGCGCTTTGGCCGCGGTGTGACCAGTCCTTATCCCTAAGTTCCCTCTGGCTTTGTGCCTGAGCTATCAAAAAGTAAAGCCAACAGCAGTCTAAAACCTCTCCGTTTTGCCAGAGTGTGAAATCAAATTAAAAACACACCTAAGAACTATTCCACTGGGCCACGTTGAGGTTTCTAGGAGCGGGGGAGGGGAGAAGACGACACTTAGAAAGAGATGGTTTTCAAGCCCTCCGTGTACCAGCTCCAGTTACAGTGTATTAACTTAGAGCTAAATGAGAAAAAGATTCAGTCTAGTCAGGGGTTTTATCACAAAGTAACATCAATAACGCAGGAGTACCACACACATACACACACACACACACACACACACACACACGCCCTGATTCCGATTTTAACCTCCTTTGTCTGACACGGAGCACAAGGAGAAGGTCCCCGGAACAATGCCTGAGCGGCACCGATGCCAGGCACTGAGCCCTGTCCCCAAGCAGCCACCCGGAGCCACACGGCGGCCTCTCCCGCTGGCAGTGGGGACGGCGCCGCCGCGGCCGAGCGCGCAGCATCCTGCTTTGTGCCTCGGGGATAACGGACTCGGTCTGCGTGCATCCGTCACCGAGCCCGGGGAAGCTCAACTCGGGTCTGAGCTGCAGGGGACATCGTTCAGACCACACTCTGAGCGACCTGGACCCGGGGGGCGGCCGAGGCGCTTCAGGAGCAGCCCGGCGGGCGGGCGGAGGGAGAAAGCCTGGCGCTCTTACCTCCACATTGAAATACTGCTCCGTTCTGCAGACGGCAGCACATAAAATCCAAAGGAAGGCTTGCAAGAGAGCCGCCCCCGAGTGATGCACGAAAGCCACCGGTCTTCCAGAGCTGAGGGCGAGTAAGATCATAGTGGACTGGGCTCCAGCGCACACAGAGCTCCCGGCGCCTCCCTCTCCGCCGCCCGCCCGCCCTCCCCGCTTCCTTTCCAAAAACTCCTGGTGGGAAGGAGCCCGCAGGTTCACTGCTGGCTGGGCGCAGGCCTGCACTCGGCAGCCCGCGAGCAGCGCAGGCAGGTCAGCGGCCGCCCGTGGTCACCATCGTCTGCTGAGTCCCGGGCTCGGCCCCGCACAGCGTCCCGCCCGCGCGTCCTGCTCCGCGTGCGCCCTGCCGCTGCTGCCTCCCGCTCCAGCTCCTGCGGAAGGGCAGCTGCTCCCAGCTCCTGCCTCAGCCTCTGGGTCCCTCCTCTCCCGCTCCCTCCAGAACGTTCATCCGTAATCTACATAACCCCGCCTCCTGTCTTCCTCCGGGTCCGCTGGCTCCTGGTCTCGGTGCGCGCACGCGCGCGCACACAACCATACACACATCTGCACACGAGCACACACATCTGCACCCCAACACACACACACACACACACACACACACACACACACGCGCACGCGCGCGCGCGCAAACCATACACATCTGCCCAAGAGCACGCGCGCGCGCGCACATCTGCACCCCAACACACACACAGCCAGACGCGCGTGCTTCGTAGGAGATGGCTGCGAGCGGAGCCTCTAGCGCACCGCGCCCTGGAGGCAGCCAGCCGGCCACAAGGGCCACGGATGGGGACAGGCACCCACCCCCATCGCCAGGCAGGCAGGCCCTGTCACCTTGCCCACCCAGCCGAGCTCCTAGAAGCACAGGCGCCAGCCCTGCCGGGGACCCCGGGCGCGCTGGGGAGCGGCCCGCCTGGTCCTCAGGCGAGCACGTCCTCCATCCAGCTTGGGGGCGCTGAGCATTAGGGAAGCGCAGGATGGTTGCCGGGATGGCCAAGTTTGAGAAGCCGAAGGCAGAAGTCCGAGCATCCCAACTGCCGGGGTCCACCGACCCAGCCTATGGCCTGTTGTCTCCCCGAGTCCCCTCCACCATCACCACGCCCTCCAGGCTCCGGGAGTGGGCCCGGGGTTGGGGCGGGGTTCTAGGCAAACACAGAAGCAGGAAGAAAAGGCTCGCTTTCCAGAGGTGTCCTGCGGGGTGGACACACATGAACACTGGGACCCAGGAAGGGCGGTCCTAGGTGTCCACACACACCACGCCGGAATGAGTGCGCGGCGGGACGCTGAAGGGAGGAGGGAGCCTCCTGAGCAACGACAGCGCAGACAGCAGCGGGGGGGCCGGCAGGGAGAGGGGGCTGCCTCGGGGGCTTTGCCGGCGAGAAGCACAGGACGCTGCGGGCCGGAGACCTCAGGAGGCTGCCTATGGGACTGGGGACGCAGCAGTGTGAGGCCGCGGACTGGGGGCAGCAGCCGCGGGCAGGTGATGGTGGGCTGAAGGAGGCAGGGCAAAGCAGCCAGTCAGTGTGCTTCCCCCAGGCAGCCAGCAGAGGGGAAGAGGAGCCCACAGGAAAGAAGGGCGGGCACCGTCGGGAATAAAGGCGGCTCCAGGTAGGACAGCGACCTCAGCGAGGCCGAGAGAGGGCTGACCCGGCATACGTCACTGGAGAGTTGGTACAGCGACATTTAGGACGGCAAGAGCTCATGCTCGGCAAGCCCATGGAAAACGTTGGAAAATACTGTCAGAAACTGCATCGGACTGTGATCATTTGGATCCTAACGAGAACCACAAAACAGCTGAGGAATGGGACTTTGCAGCTAACGCTTTAAAAACTGTAGGAAACGTGACCCACCCAATTGGACCCGAGTCTCCCACAGGCCTTCCTGACGTTCTGCTCTGTGCACAGCATGTCCTACCACAAAAGAACTGGGAAAACACGAGAAATACTTTATATCATATAGTCTATTAAAATTCACAGAATGTTTCCACACGTAGTATCTCATTTAAGTCTCACAACATCCCTGTTTTGTTTTCATTTTACAGATGAAGAAAAATGGTCATAAAATAGAACTTTCCAGAAACCATTCGAGTGGCAGAATTCAAACCTGAGTTTTTTTACTCCCAATTCAGTACATTTCCCACTACAGTCCAGTGACTTTCCATATAGAAATTCATTTCTGTTTTTACCAGTTTTGTAACCCACAAGTTAAGGTAACTTACATAAAAGAAACAATGAGAAGACAATGCAAAAGCAAGGCGATTATAGAAGTTATATGGTATTTTGTGCCAATATAAAGTAATGGATGTGGCGGTGGGGGGAGGTGGAGTGGCATTCCTCCGTGATAAGAATCTAGCCAGGTGCAAAGTTAGAGAGGGAGGAGACACAGGAAAAAGTTTATACATTGTATCTAGCCAGGTGCAAAGTTAGAGAGAGAAGATACAGGGGAAAGTTTATACATTGTATCTAGCCAAGTGCAAAGTTAGAGAAGACAGGAAAAAGTTTATACATTGTATCTAGCCTAGTGCAAGGTGAGAGAGAAGAGGTACAGGAAAAAAGTTTGCACTCTTTTCCTAAACTCTTGAGATGGCACTGACAGGAGGGGAGGTAAAACAAATTCACCCAAGACATACATGAGGTAATCGTTCTAAATGCTGGAGGCCTTGTGACATGCGCCAGAGTATCCGAAGACTTTATCTGGAGTGGCATGCAATTTGAATGCTGCTGGGCTACCAGCAAGGAGGACTTTCCCAAAGAAAACACCTCAGACCTGAGCTCAGAATGGAGAGCTGTGCGCTGCGTTGTTTGTGGAGGACACGATATGGGAAGGGGCTCGCAATGAACACTGACGTAACATCCGATCAAACAGGCAAGCCAAGAGGCTAAACCATTTCCTGTGCGAGATTACCCTCAGTTATGCGTAGGTAGGATGGGCCATGGTGGGAGCTGGGTGCAGAGACAACACTTCAAACAAGGAGGGGCCTGCACTTGGAGACCTAGGCTAGTTAGGAGTCACCCCAAGGGAAATGAAAGGAAGGAATACTACATTCAGAAGATGCTCTCAAGTTAGTGATTAGTGATCACTTTTACAAACATTTATTAAATTCTTTAGCGGGCATTCAATGAGCAATGGATGAGTGAATGAGTGTTCAAGGTTCTAGAAACACTCACAGAAATAAAATACCAGGCAGACACCTAATAACCACAGCAATGTTGTAAGACTTGGGTAATTACATATGCAAATACTATGGAGGAGGTTGGAAGGAGTTGATTTTCCTGAGGTCCTTGGAGGAAGCATCACAAAGTAGTGGCTCTCAATGGGTATCTTGAAGGCAGAACAGAATCTACCAGGTGGCTCGCGAAAGGTGGGTATTCCAGGCCTGTGTGTGGCGAATCGTTCAGGAGGCATCTAGACGAGCACCCATGGTCGGCCAGGGCTGGAGGGCCAAGGTGTGTGTCAAGCCAGGTCAAGGTCAGAGACAGCAAGAGATTAGGACAGAGTGTCATGGGCCCCTGCAGGCTTCACACTTTACCCTACAGGAATTCTCAGGAGGCAGCCATTGAATCTTCACTGTTTGCTGTATGCTTGCAACTCTGGACAGTCACCTTCTAGAAGTTCTCGTGTTTTACTTCCTATGTCCCACCCAGCATTTACTATCTACTATCTTCGCAGACCTTACGTCTGTGCTAGTCCAATAAACCTAATGCAACTGCTCCCCTTGTGGACTTAGCTGGTACCTGCAGAAAGGTGATCACTTTCTTTGTCAGGTGACTTGTTATTCCGTCTCTCACTTGTTATACAGAATTATGAAGAAGTCCCTACCGTCCTATCTTAGTGATCGCTTGTGTGCTGTCAGGTACTTTCTTTCTTCTCACAATTTCACAAACCTAATGAACCATTTCAGAATTATGTGAATGCAGAACAGAGAATCAAAAGAGATGAGTGTAGAGCGAATGAGCAAGCCAAAGGGAAGGGGTCACTGTCGCTGGTGAAGGGTTAACAGCAAGCCAACAAAAGGTAACAAGGGAGAGAAGGGGTCTGAGGAGGTGAGCTGTGTGTGAGCTCTCAGGGGGCAGAAGGCAGCTATTAAAAGTGAGCAGGTGAGTGGCATGCTGGGAGTGGGGGTGATGACGCTACCTAAAATAACACGAGAGAGGTCAGTATATATTACAGACGTCGCTGAACCAGATTTCTTCATCAATGAGCCTTACAAATGAGCCCTAAAGCTCTGAACGCCCCGTGCACTGCTTGTGCCTCCGTCATATCAACCTGTGTGCTGTACTGCCTACTTGCATCAGTGGGACCTGCTGTGTTTTTCTGTTTTGTGTTTAAATTCAGAGAACACTGAATCAGCGCTCAGCTCCTGGCACCCCCTCCGGCCTGGGACGGGCATCTCGGGGCCTGTTATTTAAGGCGTGTTCCCTGGAGGAAGCTTCCGGTCCAGAGCTTCTCTGCAGTGCTGACTCTCTAGCCACACAGGTTCCCCTGGGATCCACACACAGGGCAGAACTGGAAGGTGCTCACTATCATCACTGCCAGTGAAGACACTGCGATTCCTGGTTCCTGCATTGACGTATGCTCTCTTCTCACCTCCGTAACTATGAATGTTTCTCAAATACCTGATTTTCTGCTCACTTATTTGTTCATGCATTCCTCCACTGAACATTCATTAATGGTTGGGAAACACACAGCAACTGAGGATACAAACAGGTCGATGTGGAGTGGAGACAGACCACGGCAGTTTGCTTAGGGTCTGAGGCACACGAGAACCAAGTCCTGGGCTTTACAGTTGTTTTCTCTTAGATTTACTATCTACAGAAACAGAGAGCTAGAGACAAGATTCTGGTACAAGCAGCGGACGTGGCCCGAGAGCCTCCTGGTTCTACATCGCGGAGTACTGCAGTTTGGAGGGCAAGGTGGCTGTGAAGTGCTGGAACCCTGGTGACAGCAGCAGCAGTGAGTGTGCAGCCCTTCGCCCCTTAGGCTGCGGAGCGAGACAGTGCCCACGGCTGTGTCCGCCACCTTAGAAAGGCATCCCTCCAGCACTACAGCCATCATCCCCCCAGGGACTCGAGTGTGCTAGAACACATGCTGGGAGTCACAGAATCTCAGAGTCCAGCTCTGCCCCTCTCTCGCGC